TCGTGTAGTCCACCACAAAAACATCCTGCGGCAGTGAAGAGCAGGCGTTGACGACCGCGGTGTGGAGCTCGAGCTCGTCAGTCTTGTCCGTGTCGACGCTGAGGAGCACTCCCGCGCGGCGGACGAAGGCAAACTGCGGCGCGCTGCTGTAGAAATCCACCACTCGCAGCACGTCCGGACCCTGTATCTGTACAGCCCCGCTCGATTCGTGATGACGAGACGAGCTCGTACTCCTTCCTGAGATGCACATCTGCGAGCTCCACAATTTCACCACTGGTGCTGTTCTTGCAGTTGGAACTAGGAAGGGAAGATGGTGTAAAGGATTGGCGATGGAGGGGAGAGAGGACTCAAGTTGACCCCGAGGCTGCTGCACTCGGAGGAAGCGTAGAGCGGCGAGGCGATGGGCAATTCGCCGCTGAGGAAGTCGATGACCGGATGATCCCGCGCCAGTTTTTCTTGCTGCACTCGTAAGTTTCCGACTTTGGGTTGGTTGGGCACTTTTGCTTGCCACCCGAGGTGCCGGAGCTGCAAGTTAAACTTGTGTAAGTTTCCATGGCGCTGGGAGATTTCTTTCGAGTTACGTTACCTTTCAGCATTTCACGGACTGAAGCATCGGTGAGAATTCTCGAGTCGTCACCGCTGGCCATCCTCGTGACGTCAGACTCGATGTCCGTGTAGGACGAGAGCGACATGGCTCGCTTGAAATCGTCGCGGCAGGGAACTCCACACAGGCCGTGTCGCTTGAAGTATTTTACGTTGCCATTCTTTGCGAGGATTTGCTCCAGAATGCAGGCTTGCACAGCGCCAACGTCACGAGTTATGTCGCCAACAAAGTTGAGGATTTGATCGTCTGAGTCTTTGGTGTTCATGATGAGCTGAGCGTCATACCGGTGCTCCGTAGCTCGGAAGAAGATTGATTTCCCCCAAAAAACTATGCAAGCGAAGAACAAGGAATGTGGTGATTTGGCAGAGATAAAGAAAGAGAGCGCTAGAAGCTTTGGACGAGACGAGACAAGCTGGACGATCGATGATGGAACAAAGATTTGCCAAGTGCTGGCTTTTATAGAGAAGAAGCACGACCGAAAAAGAGGATGTTTTCAGGTCGTCTGCATGTTTTCACCAAGAAAAAGAGAGTCATACTTGGAGCGCAATCAATGTTGAAGTCAGCAATATACTAGAAACCTAAAACCTCGTGGACTCTTAAAACCTGACATTCAATCTTGGGAGACTCGTGATTTTCGTTCGTGGAAGACGAGACGACAATGACCCCAACAGAGATAACCACAGGGGAGCGTCTTTCACAAAACTTTGAAAGGCTTGCCGCCGCTCTCTTTCTCCTCAGAAGTTCCTCCAACTTCTTCTAGTGCCCTTCGCAATGACTCCTCGTGCTCCTGGAACACAGAATTCATGACTTTGTGGATACGCTCTACGAATCTTAGCTGTGCGACTTACTTTCACTAGTCGTTTGGCGTGTTCGATTTTAGTCGTGTTCCAAGTAAAAAATGTAGTTTGCACCCTTTATCTCTTTCATGAATACAATTTAAAAGCTTTGAGTATTTGTAAGTACTGTGAAAACCTTGGCTTTTTAGAAGGATGATGATAGATTTGAATGACCTTGAATGGCATTTTATAATTACCATTAAAATAATAAAATTGAGCTTCAAGGTTTATAAAAATAAATGCTCTCAATTAAATTTTTTTCTCATGCACTGGGAGATGCTGCTAACAAATATTTCACCGTCCTTTTGTTATATAATTACAAGACACAGAATGATAGAAAGCTAAATAGTATAAATAATATAAAACAATATTGCACAGTCAATGGATCAATTTATTTAAAGTACTTGTATAGTGAATTTTCTTCTTGGGTTTTTGGCAATCTTTGGTGATCCTTGTTGGAATATTGTGAGAGTAGCATATTTTTCTTGTGTTGGAAGACAAAGCTGTGGAAGTTTGATCATGATTATCACGAATGCTCAACGTTCTAAATGAGATAGTGGCCAGGGAAGCAATAACAATTACAATGGAAAGTTGTGATGTGTAAATGCACCATTCTCATAGTCAGGTACCTCCTTGGCATGGTATCTTCGTTTGCATGCTTGCTATACTAAAATTCCATTATATATATATAGTGAAGGCTGAATACAAAAATAATCAAAATAGTTGGCACACCCCAAGTCTGCACAGTTTTAGCTTGCTAGTGGACTTGAGGAGGGTTGCTAGAAGCCTTTTTCTATGATCGAAAAGCTCTCACTAAACTCCTATTAAGCATTGTTGATGTAGTGGATGGATGCGGAATTGCCGGGGATTTGGAGCAGTAGCCACCTTTTGCCAAGGCTTCAGGAACATTTTCATGTTGAGGCCTACATGTACCTACTATTTTCAGCCTTTATATAACCGCGATCCACCAGGCTATTCATGACGGAGTGTTGTGTGCAAGTAGGAGGCAAGAACATACCTGAGGCAGTTGGTGGCCCAAGTTTAATATTTATAAGAGGATTTGGTTGTTAAAAAAATGATTGATTTATTTTCTGCTCGCTGGAAGCTGTTCGGAGAATGGACAAGTGTTCTTAAGCTTTAGGCCGGGACGAGTTAGAGTTAGGGTTCTCGGGATGGCTTCTTCGCACGGTAAGACGCCCTTATCCGCGCTGTGACCCTGATGTTTGTTCCAGTTCTGTTCGAGGTGTTTGGGAGCTATCACGACTCGCGGTTTGTGGAGTGCCGCCCAGGCAACGCGATGAAAGTTCTCCCGGACGAGCCAAAAGCAGGCTGCTTCTTCAAGCTGACGCTTGACATCCCCGCCAGAGCAAGCTTCTCTATGTTCGTCAGGACTGTGTGGAGCTGTTTAAGGAATTGGAGGGACGCCTTGAGCAGGAAGATTTAAATGGAGGGAGTGAGCAGGAAGACGTACGAGGGGCAGCTATCCCGTTTTGGAAGCTCTTCACAGGGCACCCGGGAACTGGAAAAACGATGATTGGCCTGCAGCTCTTGTTCACGTTCATGAAGAAAGGACGCACTGTTGTGTACCACAACAAGATCATATCTTCTGGCTACGCAGTGTTCAAAGAGAAAAAACTTCATTCCGTAGGGGATAGAGCTGAGGTTGAGGGGTACTTAGGTGACCAGCGGACGATCTTCATAAATGACGGCTATGCTTTCAAGGGGCTCGGTTCCATAGCAGCCAACACACTGCTGATTGCAAGTGACAAGAGCTTTTTCAAGAGTTATGATGTTTTTTACGGACGCTTGTGGAGTGAAGAGGAGGTCAGGGAGTGCCACGAGCTCGTGTTTAGGGGGCAACTAGATTGGGGCGATGTCCAGCGACACGTTTACTATGCTGGTTTTGTTCCAAGGCACGTGTTCCCGATACCACGGTGGTTCCTTTCTGTTCTCAACCAACTGGAGGCTGAAATCGAATGCGAAAAATCACTGCTCTCCGTGATCTCTGCGGTTGTCTGGACAAGGAGTTCCCGGATTACAGTGTCCACCTTGACAGAGGATCTTATTCGGCTAAAGGTTACACGAAGATTGGCTCAAAGTTTATAATGGAACAGCTGCTTTTGCAACTTGACGTGCCGCACTGGCGCGATGCGCTTGTATCCTACAAGACGCGGCGAGGTCCCGTAGCGGATTTCAGAGGAGAGATCATGGAACTGCTGATCCATCTCACGTTTCCAAAGTTCCTCGCTGACTGTGAGCAGATCCTGCCCCGGACCATGCCCGCTCGAGCTCCAGGCAACGTCCAAAAGCTGGTGGTCGATGAGCAGGAGGATCTTCACGTCTATTTCTACTCCAGTTTTGAGGATTTGGAGGTGAAGATCAAGGATTGCCTGGACAAAGGTGCGAAGGCAGCTTATTTCTGGCCAAGGTTGCAGACGGATGCTGTCGTAGACAGCGTTTTCATTGACTTCAAGCGGCAAGTTACGTTTCTCCTGCAGGCCACTGTGGCCAAGACGTGTAGGACTGTTGTCTGGCACCCAGTTCACAAGCTGGTAGGCTTCCTACGTCAAAACAGCATAGGAGTTGCAGGGCTGTATTTTGTGACATCGGAAACCAGTTATACTCACTTCGGCTACCAGACCTGGAAGAAGGTGAGAGGGGTGCACCAAGATGAGTTGATACTGCCCGATCTTCCTCAGTACAAGGTGAAGTTTAAGATGCTCGAGAGCGACATGGAGAACCTGGAAAAGCTGCAGGAGTACAGGGACGGCATTGATGAGATCTTGAAACTAATGGCGGTAAACACTTGTGTGCATATCAACATTCTTGACAAATTTTGTTTTTGGCAGAAATTCGGCAATGATATGCCAGAGTGCTGTGTCCGGACGACTGACACGGACGTGGAAACTACTCCAACTGCGTGCGTGTGAGTTTTCTGGTATTTGCTTGTGAATGTTGGTTGGCTTAGCCGCTTTGAGCAGGACGCCTTATGCGTGGAGTGATCCGCTGGAAAAGCTTGGAGGGGACGACCGTTTTTTGCAAGGTTCAGACTTATGTTGATAAGTTGTTGATGTACTTTCTCGCTGTTGTGCTGGACAACACAACACAAGCTGGACAATGCAGTTTAGGATAATTATTTTTTGTCTTTGGGAGCTGGAGTGATGTCAGTGATTGCTGTGTCTTCGTAAAAATATAATTAAGATAAATTTTAGAGTGTAGTGACCATGAGGTGCTTTGAAGAGTTTAGAACCAAGGCAGGATCATAAAATGTGATGATATAACAAGTTTATGAGGGAGTGTTCTTGAGTAAACGGGTGAGTATATTGTTTTTGGGCGTGACTATTTATTTTGAGCTATCAAATAAAAATAGTAACTTCAAGGAGTGATCTGGATAGCAGGAAAATTCCAACGATATGGAAGTCGAAGTTTAACAGGTTCGTGAGCTGTCACGGGAAAATGTCTGTGTGTTCTTCTTTTTATGTCTCTATAGAGAGTGTCTTCATAAAATTTTCTGAAGCATTTTCTTGTGACATCTGGAGAGTGGGAAAATGTCACAGGAAAATGTCTGTGTGTTCTTTTCGTTTGATAATGTCTCTATAGAGAGTGTCTTCTTCATCATTTCTATAGCATTTTCCACAACATTTTCCCGCTCTCCAGATCACTCCTTGAAGTTACTAACCTACAAATTGGGGAAGGGATATAGATGTAATTAGACTGCAGATAAGGACCACCATGATAAAGTTTTTTACTCAAATACCTCAACTACATCTTTAGTTGACCAATGCTCATTCAATTGCAATTTTAGTAGAGGAATGCATGAAGTTATAGTTGAAGTAGTCATCACTAATAAACTTTGTTGAAAATGGAATAAACAACATTATAGCCATTAAATATTTAAGGATGTTTTCAAACCTTATTACAAATATTTTGTGACTTGAAATTGTTTGTACTCTTATCATTTACAGATCTTGGATATTTAGCTCTCAAAGTCTAAAATTGATATTCACTATTAACAATAGTTTGCATTTGTATGCTAAATTGTCATTTATAATCCCTCCGCTCCTGTCCATCAAAACCACTTGGAACTCTATTTTCTGACTACATAATATATGTGTTTCCGTGCTTCTCCACAAATGCTCTCACAAATTTATTTAATATCTTAATGCAAGTTAATTCTTCTTACCTAGAATGTTATAAAGACCTTATAAAAGATTTATATTAAGATCACCATTTAATTTTCATGAGTGTAGAACAAATGCCATCAATGCAAATTCTACTACAAACTTATCCCTCGTGACCTTGAGTGGAATTTCTTTACTTAGAAATCCATTAAACATATCATTGAATTGCCACATTCAAATAAGTGTGTTGTCGATGAAAGAAGAAGTAACATAATTACATAAAACCATAGAAGAGTGTAACCTTTCCTATTTTTGAACTATGTATTGAACAATAAATTCTCATACTTCTATCACTATTTAAGATTGATAAAGAATGTTGAAGATCACTACAAACTCTTCTTCTTTGGTATCACCTCATTCTCCAAAGTCACTACCTCATCCTCCAAACCAAAAGCACATTGACTCTATCATTCCCAATTGCTCTTCTACCTCTTTGCAAGAAAAATTCAAATTAGGGCTTTTTAGGGCAAAATTGTGAATCAAGATTCGGGATCTTGCTTGATTAGCCCTCTAAGATCCTGGACAGTGTAATCCGGGAACTCCTTGTCCAGGTAATAGGGTCCAGTGATTTTTCGCGTTCGATTTCAGCCTTCAGTTGGTTGAGAACAGAAAGGAACTGCCATGGTTTCGGGAACAGTGCTTTAGAACAAAACCAGCATAATAAACGTGCCGCTGCACATAGTTGCCCCCTAAACACGAGCTTGTGGCACTCCCTGAGCTCCTCTTCACTCCACAAGCGGGGCTCGGGAGCCATGTGATGCTAGCGTGTTTACGAGTGGTGGTAGAGACGAGCAGCAAGAGGGTCACGACGGCCGGACGATGGAGAGGGTCCGGTCCCTGCTGCTGGAACTTTTAGAGCCCATGAAACAAGCTGGATACGTCCCCTACACAAGGGAAGTTTACTTGGAGCAGCAGGGTGGCACAAGCGAGGATCCGTAGCAAACATCGTAACCGTCTTATCGACCGAATCAGGACCCGCAATCAGCAGCGTGTCGCCGCGGCTCTCCCCCGCATTCCTGTCGCGACGAGGAAGCTAACTTTAGGAAGAGCCCTAACGAAATGTATCGATACCAGTCAGTGTTTGGGCGAGCTCTTCTCAACTCCCAAAAGCTCGAGGATTAATTGCTATTGCGCGCTCTAGCTAGGGAGGAGTGAATTCGTGCCGGGCGGCTGGAAGAGTCGCGGCGCAGCGGCCGCATTGGCGGAGGCCTCCATTCTTCGCAGGCAGTGATGCTGAGGAAGAAAAGTGGATTAAGAATAGTCTGCTTTGATTCTGGAAACTATACAGTAAAAGGAAGGATCACTCCTCCATGAGAGATCCCTCCATTCTTCCAAGTCTGAGATCTATGATTTAGAAGGGAATGGCGCTTGAGACACGAGGATACACCACTCTCATCGGATGCCCGATCATCCTGCGCCCCTTGATACGGCGAAACGGGTACATGATCGCTCCCACGGGCCACTCCACCGCCGCCGCAATTGCGAATGCCACAAATCCTAGCGTCGGCCCGATTACCTTGACATGGCATGGATTCTGCCGAGTCCCGCACTGCACGCACGACGGGATCCTGTGCCTGCGAGTGCGAGTCGTCGCTACTGGAGTAGCAACGTGAGTAGTCCCCACTGCTCTCGTCATTCTTCCTTTGATCAATGCTCTGGAAATTGAGAAGAGAAAACACAAACTTCTTTCGCTTCGCACTAGAAATTCTGTCTAGCTCCCATATGAGCTCTTCTTTTATACTCCTTGAGATGGCACCACGTGTAGCAATTGGCGAGCGCCAGCTGCTTAGCTCAAAACAATGCCACCTGGCTTAGCCGTCACTACTTTGAATCGCAGTCGTCCACATGGCAAATCTGATCGGACGCTCGAAATTTGAAATTGCTTTAGTGGAAAAAGCCCTAAGTGACAAACTAGGGCTTGGGAGCTTGGGCATGGACGATCAAGCTAGCGCGGTATGTAAAGAGGCCATTCCATGTCTAGGTCTGAAGATCTCGTTGTGAAGATAGAGGAGGAGTATATTTTGTTGGATTTGGAGGAGGTCTTTCACGGCGGAGCGATCCCGACCAATTGTCCATACACTCTTTCGGTATCCTCCCCGATTTTTTGGATTTGTCTCTAACAGGAGCGAACGAATCTCTTGTTTAACAGGGTCTGGACACGCTTAATCCCATTCTTACTTTGGGCAATGGACTGAAGCTTGTTCGTCTCTCTTTCTTTTCCTAGTAGAACTTATTTGAAGCTTTCAGATCGGAGAGTACGAGGACACTGTCGGGTCCTGCATTGTTTTCTCTGAATCTGGTAAGGGCCTCCATTTCCATCTCACTGACGTTTCCGAAACTTTCGATTTCTTCCAGATGAGCCAACCGAAACAATCCGCGACCCGGTTTTCCCCCTGGACATCGTCGATCCAACAAAGCAACCGATCCAAAAAGTAGTCAAGAGCGTTTGCTCGCTGCAGAAGAAGCTTAAGTTTCGCGTCATGAGTGACAAGGACCAACCTCTCACTGGTAAGTTCTCGCAATTCCATCTTTTACTGCTCCCTCTCTTTCTCTCTCGCGATCACAGGAGCAACAGCGACGCAATGATCTTACCCGCGACGATTGTGATGGTATAAAAAAATAGGAGCCATTGGAGGTTCTTTAACTCCCACAGGTCCTCAAAGTCAGCGAGATCACTCATTTAAACAAAATATTTAAACAAATATTTACTGCCCCAAGGTACCATCGTACTTTGTAAGTTGTAATGCTTTTAAGCTGCTCGCCCCAGAGATTGTGAAGACCTCGCCTTGTAGTCATGAATGGATGAATCCAGAGCTCTTTTCTCCATCACTTTTAGCTTTTAGACGAAAAGAAGAGAACTGCTGTGACTAGTGGGTCACTTGATTTGGGCTGGTGGTGGTGACAAACAGCAAGCGCAAAAACTCGAGTGGCATCCATCCCTCAAGCTTCTTTTCTAGGGGGCAACTTTCATCTCTCTCTTGGAAGGAAAAACCGGCTAGAGTTCATGCATGAACATGAACGGGAATATATTCGCCCAAAAATCAAAAAGAAAAACAAATCTCTGACGTGCGCATGGATTAAATTTGTCAAAATAATGCAACGCATGCTGATGGTGTGTGTGTAAGTGTGCGTGCATCAAAATCAAGGGTGGCATGGCATGGCCCCTCCGTACGCCCAAATTGCACCCCAAGGCACACAGTATATTGTGACCACCCCTGCCGCCCTCAGTGTGTGTGTGTGGTGCCAACTGTAAGGCAGTAAAGGCGGCCACTGCCACGGTTGTACGGCCCCGAGCCTCATCAAGGCGCCGAACCAAGCCGACCATACCCGGACGCCCACGTCACCACCGCGGTCGCACGGCAACCGCACCACGTCACGGACGCGGACTGACGCGGTCACGCACGTCCCTGACCGCGGTAGGGTTAAGCTATGGAAGGATATCTTTTTTTTTCTGATCTCTGCCACGCAGAGAAAGAATTCCCATAGCCCCATGCTATCCAGCGAACAGAAAAGGGGAAAGCGAGAAATCCCTGTATCGCGACTAATCAGCTCTCTCGATCTCGATCAATCAAGCAAAGCTTGGGATGAATTGGGCAATTGCTTTCCTTGACTTGGAAAATCGCAGGGCGGGGCAGGGCAGAGTGTTTTTTTGCTGCCCCTGGGCTGTGCATCGGATTGGATCGCAACATCTCGGATGTGCGAGACGTCCATCCTCTTGCAGGCGAGGAGGAGGGCACAGCGCACAGGCCATTACTGATTCTTCCACCCGCAACTTGCCCATCTCGGCATTTCATTTCACCTCTCTCGTTCAGACACGACGACACGAGGCCACAATCATGCTCTGCGCGACGGCGATCGCCGATGAATCGATCGGAGATCATCACGGACCTTGCTTTAGCTAAAACAGGGGATTGCGAGCGATTTCCTCTATAATTCCAGAAATCTAGAGGGCTGGGATCTTGATTTCCAGTAGGATCTTGGATCCCGCCAACGACAACAAGACGCGCAGATCGGCGCATAGAAAGAGCCAAAAGATCGAAAGAAAACAGAGCCAATTTCAAACACCAAACGCAGGGGAAAACAGGGGAGAGGCAGGCATTGCCCATCAATTCCATGGCAGCAAGGCAAAGCAAGCAACCAAACCATGCCACCACCATCTCCATCTCGCTCCAGCTCCAATTCAATGAGACTCGGACGACCAAAACCAGGCAGACAAGGAACCGACCCTCACTGAGCACACTCCAGTGATGGAGATGGAGACCGATTCCACCCTCGACAAATTCAAGAGCGCTCGGATCTCGTCTCCCCGCTGCTTTGGCCTCTAAAAAGCGATTGATATTAGTATAGAGAGATCATAGTACTCTCTCGCTCTCTCTCTCTCTCTCTCTCTCTCCTCTCGCTAAAAAGGAAGAAAGACATCACAAGAAAAAGAGAAAACCTTGCGCTCTTGACCTTGCTGCTGCTGCTGGAATTCGAAACTTACCTTGGTGAATCTCTATCAAAACTTCCAGAACCTTTGAAACAGTGATGTGATCGTGTTGACGCGAATCCTCTCGGTGTTCTTCTCGGTGTGTTGCTCTACAGTGCTCGAATTGTAGTTAGCGTTGCCACAGGAGTAGTGAGGCCCGACGATCTCATCCAAATCACTCACCACAGAGGAGATCTGTGAGGCACTCCTTTCCTGTGCTTGCTGCTGCTGCTACTGCCACTACTCCCGCCAATGTTGGCCAGGAACTTGGCCGCGGTCGTCGATCGATGACTCCTAAACTTCTTCATAGGCGGATTGGGATTCACAAACATCGACGTTCGTGCCGCCGCGGACTCGCCGAAATCGCACGAGATGCTGTCCTCTTCGTCGTCGCCCGAGGATCCCGAGGATGTGGGCGACGAGGAATTGGCGTCCTCGAGCACGGAATTGGGCGACATCTCCTCGTCGCTGTCGGATTTGAGGCTCTCGGCGGGCGAGAGCACGAAGAAGTCATCGGGCTGGGCGTTGCTGGCGCCCTGGCGTGGGGCGAGGCTAGAGAGATCCTTTCCCCTGCGGACCACCGCATCCACCTGATCGAAAGGGAGAGAGACACACAAGAATCCAAGGTCAATTCTCTAGATTTTATGGATCCGAGTGCTCCAAATCGACCGATCGGTTACCTTGCAGGCCAGCGAGCAGTAGCGATAGGCGTCTTGCAAGCTCCTCTCGCACGTCTCGCAGGAATTTCCAAAGCCCCGGGAAGGCCGCGGTTGTGGGCGCTGATTTAGAAACACGACTCGCGCGCTGTTAATGATATAAGTCTGCATCGCACAGAGGAATGTGTAACGGTCGGTGGAAGCAACAAAGGAAAACCAAAAAAAATCGAGAAGAGAAGAGAAGAGTGGTGGAATTCCTCCTTGAATTTCACCACTCTCGACGGCGAGAAAGAAACATTCCAAACAGAGCTTCTGCGATGATCGACTGAAATGTTACCTGGACGAGCGCGCAATCCACGAATTTTTGGATGTCTTGGAGGCGGATGACATCGTGGTAGACATATCTCCTCACCTGCGCCACCGATCGAGAGAGGGGTGTGTCAATTTCCCTCCAATTGGCAAGAAATGGGAGAGGGGGCAATTCACCAACTCGGCGAGAGATCGCCCAATTGGTGGTTCTGGAATTGCGAATTCCCGTCGCTGGATGGGATCTTACCTGGAGGAGGCGGTGGGATTGATGCGCGGGGAGGCAATGCTGGCAGATGCCATAGCTGCAATCCACGCAAAAGACATTGCGCTCGTTCTTCTTGATGGTCGAGTGAGATGGGCAGGCCACGAAGAACTTCTCCGTGAGCAATGCCTCCAACCACGCTGGCCTCTGAGGCATCGCGCCAAGCTTCAGGCTATAGCCCACCTGGCAAGAACAACAAAGAAAGAAAAAAAAAGAAGAGGAAATCGATCAAAACTCGCCAAGGGAAAGAATTTGATGCATGGATTGGAATGTTGCTGCGCATGGATCAAGAGAGAGAGAGAGAGAGGGGCATGGATTGGAGCTGAAAAGACTGAATTTCCCCTTTGTTCTCGTTACCTAGGCCGGAATTTTTCTTGCGCGCGCTCGCTCGCTTCTCGCGAGAGATTTTCCTCGACTGGGACAACACAATGTGGCACGAGGCAAGAGAAGAGAGGATCAAGAATGGAGAGATGATGCGAGAAATGTGCGTTCTAGAGTTGCGAAGCAGGGGCAAATTCGCGGCAGATCGAGCACCGCGCCCCTCGTTCGGCTCGGAATTGGAGGGCTCGGCGTTGAGAATCACGCACCATAGGCACAGCTACAAGAAGATCCTCCTCCAAGAATTCCTCCTCACAAAACTCTCTGGAGAGCACAGCCGCCGATGGAAGTAAATGGTCTCATCCGCCATAGCCAACCCTCGCGGGCAGTGCATATAGAAAGCGAGGGAAGGCCCTGCCACATCGTGGCCGTTGCTACCACCAATCGGACGGTGGGCAGCAGTAAAACCCTCCTGCCCGCACCGTCGGATTCAGCCATTTACTCGACGGTTCCCGTTGCCGGGATGGACGCGCCAGATGCGCCGCCCAGGGCAATCCAACGGCGGCATTCCATGCCAACTGGAGCCCCGAGGCCGTGGCAACTTGGGGGCGAATTTCGGTCCGTCGATATCGCCCAGATCCAACCGTCAGAAACAACTCGCATGCAAGGTTTGTACCGCGCGGGAAATGGCGCGCTCCCCCCTGGGCTTGTAAAATATGCTAGATACGTACATTTATCAATGTATGGGTTTTAAATTCCCCTTGTCGTGGCCGCTCTTCCCCCCAGGGCATCTCTCCTCGCATATCCCGACGTAATATTCGCAGAATATTTCCCTCTCTAGCACAAGAACCCAAAAGTATGGCCTTTTTAGATAGATCTCGCGAACTATGTAAAATATTCTGGCAAACACCACACCACAAGTGCCGCTCCCAAGGTTCGAGCCCGGTGTCTCGCCCATGGAACACAAAATCTGACTAAAGAGATAACCTTGTCGGGGCGATAATCGTCCTTTATATCTTTCACCCCGCCACCCCGGATAGAAAAAAGAGTAACATAGTTTCACAGACAGGGTCACATGCGTGGCCCAAGCTCTAGATTCCGGGTCGCGGTAAATATTCTATAAACCCAAAACACGACCATCTTTTTCTGCCGCTGTGCTTGTTTATCCCGTTGATTAATGTTATGGTACTAGCCGCATGTGGGGTGTCACCATCGAGAGAGAGAAAACTGGCCTCTTGGGTGACAGCGAGCTCTCGGTCCATCGCGGTTTCGTTCAAACGCGGGATATTCCAGGAAATTAGGGTTTGCGGGTTTGACCGGGAAAGGGGACCGGCTTTTTTGTTTACCAATGCGCCATCAAGAAGAGGGTCCAATCCAATCCAGCAGAATGGAATTCTTAGATTGCTAGAGTGGTCTTTTTGGGTTATTACCCGTACAAAGTTTTGGATTGAGAGATAAATCACAAGCTTCTGGGAGTTGATCTTCTTTGAATTTAGACTTCGCAAGTGCAAGCAAGTCCAAGCAAAGCTACAGTGGGATGGGTTGCCAAAACTTGGGATGTTTGTATGTTTTCCTGTTCCTGGAACTGACAAAAATGGGGAGCGCAATCAAGATTTTTGCTTGTACGCGTATTCTCTCAATCATACAACCCCAAACACCATACCAGTAGGAAGAATGCCAGCAACAACCGCAACATACCCGTCAGAGCGCTTTGAATGTTATGCAGGTTTGCCCCGGCCGTATGGATAGGCAGGTAGAGAGATGTTTTTGGAAGTATATACCAACAATCTCCATCGCCCTAACTACCACCAAATACATGTATAAAATATGCACTCGCCACCTTTTTTGTGTATGAATTGGAAGGAAAGGTGGCACCAGCGCTATGGAACATGGGAGAGTGGTGTCAACTTTGCAGCTGCAGCTTCTGCTGCTGCCAGGAGGCCCCATTTCATCCATCAACTTTTGCGCTCAGGGGTTTTAGGGCGTTTTCGGTCTCGGCAGCAAGCAACGAGAATGCCGCTGCTGGAGGAATGAATGTGTCTTGTGAAATTTGTGGTGCTAGACAAGGATAGATTGGAAATTTTAAGAGCCCGGAAAATGATAGGGGCATTATTTACAACAGGCAGAGTGTGGCCATTTATTGGCGGCGAGTGTAACGCGCCCAAGCGACTGGTCGTGCCTGGCACGTGGCAGGGTGCTACTGGCTCCAGGTGGCAGGTTTGGGTTGACCGCGGTCGCCGCGACAACCGCGCGGTAGCACTCGTACGGCTTAGGGCTGGTTTTATAAGTTGATGAGAGCTCGTGAATCTTTTGATAAAACAAGGAGCATCGAGGGAAGGGAAAGACAAAGAATGCCCTTCTTTGTTATTGTATCGCCTTCCAGCCGCTTGGTGTTGACCGTCTAGTCCATCCAATTCTACTTCTTGAATCCCACCTTTCTCTCCTTTCAACGCCGCGCATTTGTACAAAATCCCAAATCTTTGCGTACCGCCACCTTTGCCACCAAAAGCCCAAAGCGTCTCTGTACGCCTACCATAGGTACATCGAGACAATATACAAGCAAATCTCTGTCTGAAGCTCCCAACGAGGGGAGAAAAACTATCCATTTCGGAGCTCTAAAGCTAAGCATTTATATCCCAAGATCGCGCAGTCCCAGTCATCTTCGCAACAGCGAGCTGGCTGGCTCGCGAGACTTGACCACGGCAAAAGCTCGACTTAAAATCTCTTTGCGGCACACTTGGGCGAGGAAGCCGGCGAGGAAGCCCGATCCATGGGATTCTCGGATCTCTGAATCCGGGGATTTATTAAACCGCGCCCCAAAGTCTCCCTCAAAGGGAGAGTTCCGACGCATCAACACCACCACCATCTTCTATATTGCTTGATTTTCTATCAAACTAGTTATTCTAAAGGTGGTGCACCCGTGTGCGTGCGTGGTATAGTGCATAGCATTTTGTATAATTCCCTTGCTTTCGCTTTGCTTGCGCTACCAGGTTGGATCATGCGACCGGCATTTTAATTTGATTAAACCCTAAGCAGTCAAAGGTTTGACCGGCTTATCCGTTCACGTACATCCCCATCGCATGGCATGCAAGCGTACATCCGGTATCATCATCGCGCATATAGCACGCAGGGCTACGTGGCGTGTGCCCATGGCCTCCGTGACAGGCATTCATGTTCGCCTGGCCCTAGATACTAGGGGCCCCACTTTCGCGACACGCGCGCCCTACCACCTTTCCCTTCCCGCGCAAAACTAAAAGACCTAAAACAAATATTCGTCGAATCCTTCCAGCTTTAAAAGCCAGCCCGCTAAAGTGTAGAGATGGGCCGCAAGTGGGATTTTTTTGTCCGAAGGTTGTACACCATGTGGACAAAGAATTTGACTTAACGCACACTATCTCTGGCTCTCTTTCTTTCGCTTTATCGTCTTCTCGCAACTGTTTTTTTCCTCTTTTTTTTTCTCGAGCAAGCTCTTGCGCGGCTCTGCGGCTCCTGCTGGTGCTTTGGAACTCACATTTTTTTTCTCTTTTGCGGCAGGCTTCTTTGCGCTGTAAGGGTACTCGGACGGTGCATGCCACAGGCCCCAAAGTATGGCGAGATGACAAGCGAGCAGTACCAGCGACGAGGTTGCGGTAGATGGATAAACATTCCAAACGCTTTCGATGAGGATCAAGAGGAGCAGCCTGGAAAAGCAAAGAGATTTCCATCAGAGTATCAAAACAACGCACTTCGTGACACCGGTCCTGGGGATGGCAATTACTTTACCACTGCGCACCCCCCCGTCATTTACCTCACTGGAGTCGGCAAAGGCGCCTTCCAAAGTAGATATGGCAAGCTATAAAAGTACCTGACAAAATCACGGGCCACAACACAAATGTGTTCTGCCTATATGGCTCATCAAAGTCAAATCGGCATACCAGGAGTAGAACTGGTAGTGAAGGGAGCGCGCAGCAATTATGCCAATAAAATTTCCAGTGAAGAGGACTCCCACGACATCTGTACCGGTTTTGTCAATACGAATCAAATCAATCAATATACCGAGAGGGAATTCAAGTTGAAAGCATACGTTCTTGGCCTAGCGTCTGTCGCCGCGGCAAGCTCCAAGCCTTGCTCCATAACGACAACCGCTTCCCGCTCCTTCGCAGCATTGTTTGTATCCCAGATGCTGCTGCCATACCCTTCTCGTGCCTGCATTAACCATGGGAAGCCATTTAACGTCAAGCCTGAGTCTTATGCTACGGCAACCAAAATTACTTGCACCACTTGCGCTGGGAGAAGAGGAACAGCAAGCCTACGTGCAGTACCATCAAGAGGAGAGCGAAGATTTTTGATACGAAAAATCTCTCTGGAACAAACTTGAAGTTCACGGACCTGAAAAAGAGGGAAAAAAAACACAACACAACTCCAATATCTGAAAAGTGCACAAGGCAGGCAGATGACCGTACCAGAAGTGAATAAAGACGCGACCCAAATTAAAAGCCCTTGAAATATATGCTGCAGGGTACGTTGTCAAGAAGGGGAGTCCTAGGAAAACCTGATAACAAAGTCGTTAATGAGGGCTTTTTTAGTTAGAGCCAAACCGAAATCCAACCTGTATAAGTGCTGCCACCATCAGAGCGACAAAAACACCGCCGAGTGATAGGGCCTGCAAACAAAAAAAAAGTAAGATAAAGCAGCCCGACAGAAGCTTTACTTACTTTACACAGGAGCAGCAGAAGCGAGGGAGCATACAGGAGCACGCTCATCTTAACCGAGACGGCAAGACTGCGGAAAAGCTGGTTTGAGAATGAACAAACACGAACAGATTCGATTCATACCTGAACACAGCCATACCGACATACCACCATTGTGACATGAAGAGGGCGATAGAAGCATGCGCGAGAGTGATCGCCACACAGTCATTGAATAGGCGAAGGACAAAGATGGAATGTAGTCGCTTTGATAAAGTCAGCAGGAAAATCGCCCACCAAGGAACCTACTGCACAATTCACATTCCAGAGAAGGTATGTTACACACGCAGTGCCACCAAATTTGACCAACACTCACCACGCGAGTTCTCACGTAAATTGAAAGAACCAGACCCAGGTTCACCAAGTAAAGAAGCGCAAAGATAACCTGAAGAAAGACTCCATTTCAAGAGAAAGATGAAAAACAAGGAGGCAGCAAACCTGAGCAGAAGAAACTGCTCCACCAGTGAGGTATCGTATAGCCGAGTAAACATACAGAAACCCTGCCGGGTAGACCAAAGGTCCAGTGTCGCCTCTGAGCTCCTCGTAGTTTCTTTCGCCAGACAGAAATCCAAACACCTAAAAAACATCATCAAACATGAAGAACATTTTTTCCTTTCTCTCAAGCTCACCTGTGCCATGTACGCATCCCAGTCGATCTTCGTGTCTAAAATGAATAGAAAAAGCAAGATTCGTGAATCGGAAAAAACAAATCAAGCAAAAGAGTGCCACGAAAAATGCCCTCAGATCTCATAGCTATAAGAGCATCAAGCGAGCGGTTTTCTTCGCAGACACTCCGAGTAGTGGGAATCAAAAACAGCACCAGCAGCAGCAAGCAGCGTACAAGCAATAGGGGGGAGGGAAGGAGTGGCTGCTTTGCCGCTCTAGGTCAGCTCAAATGTTTGTGCATCACCGGGCGATCGATCGATCGAGGAGAAAGATCAGTGAACTTACATGAGACATTCTTGACAACCAGAGCGGTGAGTACCGAATCAAACGCGAAGGCGACGAGCGCCACGATCAGGCAGGGCCGCCATTCCATGACGAACCCTAAAACCTACCAAAACCTAAAATTCTAGAACCCTGCGATTATAGTTTAAAAGCTTATTGCTAATAAACACAAAGTTGTGTGAAAATCGGATAAGAAGTCGGCATAGCGTTATGGAAGAATGGGGCCACCAAAGTGGTGCACTAGACGAAAAGCGAGACGATTCTATTGCCTGCTTACTTCTCACTTGATCGAAATCGATCATCATCCATCTTAAATTTGCAATGAACAGAGCAAATCAATAAAAGAACCTCGTCAACTACAAAAGATTATCACGTTTGTTCGGCAGCGAGCGATCAAACGCACTGTTTCATTCCAATCCATTCTTCTCGCACCTGCAAACCAGAAACAATCAAAAAGATTATAAGATCTCTTCTTCCTGCCATTGACACACAGTTTGACAGGGCTGGTCGGTAGTTGCTCACAAGACGCCAATTAACACACACCACGACACAGCCCACCACGAAAAAGAAAGCCACGCAAAGAAAAAAAATCCAAAAAGCGGAGAGAAAAACACGCACAATAGCTATAGGATCTACAACCCAAAAAGAAAGACACGACGAACAAACAAGCTTGCAAGCTATGGCTATGGCTGCTACTAGTCTACTTGCGAGAAAAGAGGAAGAGCCACTAACCTTGTGTGTTCGTCGTCCACCTTGCCAGCAACTTTGGAAGTGTGCGCCAGCAGCGAGAATCCCCGGCTCAGCTTCTTCCACGACAGATTCGACTGCAAAGGGCTCGAGCTCATCGCACACTTTTCCTGTGAAGTCCCGGGCGTGATCGTCGTCGTGGGCGATGGCGCCACCACCCCCGTGAGCTCTGGCTCCACAAACACTGCCGACTTCATGTCGATCTGAGCTATCCGGACAGCTCCCATGAGCCGCTCCGGCAATTCATCCTCGCTCTGCGACTCCACCAGGAAGGCCATGTCCACCGAGACCGAGTTGACGTAGCCGAGAGCCAAGTGTAAGATGTAGCTGGCGACCGTGGAGGAGCCGATGTCTACGTCGATCTCCAGGTAGTTCGGGCCTCTCCAGTAGCGACAAGTGAGAGCTCGGCCGAGCAAGCACGCCGCGTGGTTGCCGACCGCCGCGCGGACGATCCAGGGCCCCTTGACGATCCTGTTGATGAGTTTGAATCGGCTGTTCCGGAACTCGTCGTCTCCGTGGATGAACTTGTGGAGCAGCGAGCCGGGCACGATGGGCTGCTCCACCGCGTAGTAGAACACCGCGCTGTGGTTGTCTCTCCCGGGAACTTGGAGGTTGATCGCCAGGAGGAAAGTCTTGAGACCATCCCCGGATCTGTGAGCTTGTTCTAGCGACTTGACGATCCGGTTGCCGGAGCTTCTTCCCAGGATGTGGTCAAGCCTGGCCGAGGAGCGCAGCCAATCCACGCCGACTGGCTTGGAGAGCCAGTCACCCGCAGGAACCTTGGATTTCTTCGCGAAGTAGTTTGCTCCCCGGACCTGGAAGAGACTTCCTGGAGGAGATGCCCAGCCGCGGCTCCCCCGCTCTAAATCAACCTCTTTGAGAGATCCCCCGCGCCGAGCCTCGCACGTCCAATCCAGAAAGTCCTCCTCCTCCTCGCTGCTTGCCACGGAGCTGCTCGTCTGCGAGGAGCTTGTCGGTGGGCTGGACAGATCCTCGTCATCGTCTGGCCGGCAATGCAAATTCATGATCCCGAGAGCCAGTGGAGCTGGAGCTCTCTCCTCCTGGACGCTGGAAGATCAAAGGGAAGAAATCAGCCCTTGAGGATGGAAATTCAAGGAAGGGTAGGGTCGCAGGAAGAAGAAGAAGAAGACGAAGAGGGTGGGCAGTACCTTTGGGCCCTAGAAACGCGCGGTCCAGGAGCTAAATTCGCCTCCGCGACCGCGACCTCGCCGCCGCCACGTCGATGGATCACTCTGTCGTAAGCGCGATCCGATTGTTCTACTGCCGGTAAATCCCAGGATGCCAAAATCGATCAGGACGCGGGAGGTAGGGAGGAAATACCCACAGATTTAGAAGCGCGGAGACGTCGCAATCGGGGACGGGAGCCTGCGCGCCTTCGTGCTCCTTTCAACGCCATAGCCAGCAACACATGGAAATTGTGGAGGTTTTGTTTGGTTTATATATATGGGGTTTTTCTTTGCACAATTTTCTTCAGTGGTCGGAAAGAAGAAATATGATTCGCGTTGATTTTTGAAGGAATCTGTTTTAGTTGGGCTGACTCATAATTGCACAAGCTACATAACTTGATTCTTAAGCTTTATGAAGTATTAAAATGCTATACTCCTGTGGCTAAACTTTTGTGTATCAATGCAGAAGGTCATTGTGAGCTGCTGATGTTCTTAAAGTTTTCTAGGTAACATATACACAAGAGTCCTAAGAAAGAAATAGAAGAGAAATTTTATACAAAAGTTATCTAAGAAGTTACCTCTCCTAGAAGTTTGTTGGGGGATTCCGTAATCAGGTCAGGTTGAGCTTATAAGAATCTGCTTGAAAATTTACTTCCCAAACCCTGAATAATGAATTGATTCACAAAAAGTGCAAATACATGTTGAATCAATTTTCAAACTAGTTGATTAAGAATATTTCTATGGTTCCCATAAACGAGCTTTGATGGAGTGGTGCTATATTTAAGTCCCATGAGGTTCATTAAGCATGTTTTCCTTCTAAGGTCCAAAATAGAAATGTATATGAGGTTTGAGATTTAGAGGGTTTTATAAACAAGTTTTATTCTCCCAATAGACATTAGAAATCTGGAGACTTGGCAAAATTTGTTACTTGTGTTTGCAAGAAATATATCCAATCTTTAAGTTTTTTATCCTAGAAAGGGGGATTGGGAAAATAATTTAGGAATCCATTGAAGAAATAGTTAACATGTTATTTCTTGTGTATTTCTTATGTAGTGAGTAATTGAAATTAGGTACAATCAAGTAAGAGTTGGTATAATAGGAGTGACTTTAGCAAGGGAATTTAACTATACCTAAGACAAAGGTGGCATAGACAAATAAATTGCAAAAGGAAAATTTATGGTGTACAATTTGATATTAAAGCTTTTTTCGTAATTCTAGTGAATGATATAAACAAATCACTAGAAAATGGGTAAAGGCAAAGACATGACTGTTTATGGAGCTTTTGGTCAAACAAGAAGTAATGGATAAAGAATCCATCTATAAGGAGGATTCTAATGAGGAAACTTCTAAACTTGAATTTGGTGATGAAATTCTATTGTTAAAGGCTCAGTTAGATGCTTTTGAAGAACAATTAGCCAAGAATAGAGACTTTCATATGTAAGTTAAAGTGTGACAAGAAACAAATGCTCTAGCCTAATTTAAACACCTAAAAAAATGCCCTATATATTTGGGACCATTGAATATCCCTAGCCAGCCATAAATGCCTACTACTTTTGTACCTCTATCTATCTTTTTTTAAATGTTCCAACCCATAGCTCAACACTTTGGCAAATTCTAAATGTACTTGAAATCATTGAGTTCCCTCAACCAACCATAAAGTTCTTACCTTTACTAACTACAATCTTATACCTAGGATTTTTATAAGACTCTTATTTGTCCTTAACTAAGTTACTTGTAGATACCACACCCTTAAGTGCCAACTCTAGTATTTGTTCTCTTTATCCTTAATATCTTTTACCATGTAGAGTTCTACCACTATTATTTGTCCATTTAACAATAGATCTCAAAAGAACACCTCTATTTTGCACAGATTTTAGTTGTTGCCATCCCTATTTAGATTGAAACTTGATTTAACTTCTTGTTAAGACAATAGTAATTATTTCTTATGCCAACTATTGGTTAGCATGGCACTATAGTGTTTACACACAACTTTTGGCCAAAGTTGCTTTCTTCCATAAACACTTTCAAATTTTTTATGGACAAAACTCAAATTCCACCTTGCATATATTACAAGACTTCTAAATGCATTTACTCAATTCCCCTTCCGGACATGGCATAAGCTAAGGTCAAAAAATACCCAAGGACATTCATAAATTTGGAAGTGGGTGGCGATTGACATCTATTGTAAAACATGAAGATCCAGATAAATCTAGAAATAGGAGAGAGGAGTCTATTGAGTCAACTCCATCAGAAAATTAAGGAAGTGTTGGGAGAGGAGGTGCTTATAAGTAATAGGTAATTATACAAGAGGCTATGATAGACTAAGTGTCAATAGCCAAGAAGTTATAAAGGTTTTTTTTGAAATCAATCTTGTTATTACATAACTTGAATGTTGGTTGAGTCAAAAGAAGATTTGTGGCAAATGACTAAGTGAACTTTAGGCATGTTTTGCTAAGGGGCATTTATGAAACTTTATTGAGATAAAGAAAGACTTTGAAGAACTACTACTTACCATGCAAGACCATGTTGATGTTGATGGAATGATGCAAAAATGTCAAGTGGCATTGAATTCATTCTACATAATTTTTTTGCAAATCCCCACTCTCAAAATTGACTTTAGGTGGTTTGGCCTAAATTATCATAACCCTTTATTGTTGCTTGGGATCTCTATAATTGCTTTGGGATTAAGTATGAAACACCAAAGCCCACTCCTATTGCAGAAGCCTCTTCTATTGTAACCACTTTGGTATAAGAGAAATTTGTGTTATTGATCAAAGTGTAAATGAGGCAAAATACTTGTATTTAGTTTGGATCTTTAATTAGGATTAGTCAAGCTGGCCCAATTAATTTGACTATTCTGGAGGCAAAAGCTCAATGTCATGAGCTTATGAGGAGTTTACTTAGAGATTGGAGTGTCAAACTTGAGTTGATATAAATGAGGAGGAGTGTGCATATGAGTTTCTAACAATAGATAGAAATTTATAGATAACTTATTGTGATTGAGCCATGTATCACCACTTGATAGCTCAACTTGGAAAGTGCAAAAGTGTTGCTATGGACTCCATTACCCCCTTAGCATTGATCCTACCCATGCAGCTTTGGAGGAGCCACAAATGGCATAGGCACAACATGTAAAAGCCTCAAATAAAGAGCCTTAGCTTGAAAAAGAAGTGATGTTAATGTCAA